AAACCATGGGAAACAGATAACAAAGCCTGTAAGAAACCCTGAAAAAAAAAAAAAAAAAAAAAAAAAGTAAAGACTTTCATTGGATGTAGAGAGGCTAGCAGAGCAGCTGGCCTGCAGGCAGTGAGTGCCAATATGTGGAAATGGCCACCTTCATGACTCTGGGTTTACTTAAGGTTGAGGGCTGCATGGGTGGGTGGATATCAGTGCCAAGGTTGAGAGTGTGAGTTAGGAGTATGGTAGTTTCACAGAGTCAAATGGCTTCTGTCTGTAAACTTACTATCCACTTCTTGTAAAAGGGTTAGAATGTTGCCTCCTCACTGCATAGTTGTGAGCTGCTCTGTGTGATAAATTGTGTAAAGTACCTGGCTACAGGGCTGACCCAAAGAGGTATTCCACTATGACTTTAGACGACTGTTATAAAATCATTTAAGGAATTGACAGCCATTTTAAGGGCAAAAATATATGCTAAAGAATTAAAAACAAAAATGCACAGAGAACAACCTAAACTTCATTTTATGACGTGATGAATTCCATGTACAGTGTTAGATATAGTCCATGCTATGCTGGACTCATCAGTTTCTGGAGACTGTTCCTGAAGTCTTCTGGAAGGCTCTCTGGTTTCCCAGTGGCTGGATTCACAAAGACATGGACTGAAGACCCTGTGGTACATGCCAGAGTGTCAAACTGTGCTAATTTAGGGTGGCCTAAGAAAAAACCATCTGTGAGGTCACGGTGATCTACTGAAGGCAGCTCCTTGGTGGGCTTAGGAGGAAACAGAGCCAGTCGGTAGCATACACTGGAGCGACCCACTTTCTCCACAGCCAGGGCAGCCACTGGGATCTGAGGGAAGCTGATGGGTGTGTGGTACTTGCACTGATTGGTCACCATGAACCCCACCAGGGGGGACGTCAGCAAGCTGGTTTTCAGGCCACAGTACCTGGAAAGTGAAATCGCAATGTTTATTCTAGGTAACCACAACACCAACTCCACCTCCTAATCCAAAGGCTGTGTGTTCAGCAGCTTGGGAACCCCAGTTCCATCACTTCCTACATGAAATCCTTTGAACAAGATATTTAACTTCTCTATATCTCAGGTTCTACAACAATGTGATGTCTAGGACCATAGTCTCCATAGTCTGACTATGAGCATTTAAAGGCCAATGTTAGGGCTGGAGAGATGGCTCAGGGGTTAAAAGCTCATGTTCTTCCAGAGGACACAAGTTTGGTTTCTGAGTCCCATGTCAGGTGGCTGTTACTCCAGCGCCAGGGTATTTGATGCCCTCTTCTGGCCTCCATGGCTATTACATTCATGTGCACATACCTACCTCCAAGTATATACATAGATAAAAAATGAAACCTCCTTTTTTAAAAAGATGAATGTTTGTTGCTTATTGTACCATAGTTCCTAGACATAATGATCCCTCACTAAAATAGGCTACTTTAATTCTGTCAACTTGTCTAGTTTTGTTTCTGTTGTGATAATACATGCAAATAAAAAACAACTTAGAAAGATTTTAGCTCATAATTCCAGGTTATAGTCCATCACTGCAAAGAAGTTAAGGTATCATGAGCTTGAAATAGCTAGTCACATCCATAGCCAAAAACAGAGAGAAATGCATGAATGCATGCTTGCCCGTGCTCAGCTCTATATTGTGTCCCATGCCCAGGGGATGGTACCACCCACAGTGGGCTGGGTCTTCTTACATCAACCCCCCCACAGACACACCCACAGGTCAAACTGATCTAGACAATACCTCATTGAGACTGCCTTCCAAGATGATTCTAGATTGTAACAGTTTTACAATCAAAATTAACCTTCACACCTGTTTTTCCTTCTCATCAAGAGTTAGGTTTTTCTGCACTAAATGAGAGAGAAAACCACTGTAAGAAGTTACTGTATCCTTTATCTCTGCCTCTAGATTGTGATCTTTTTTTAGAACTGGGGCTAAATCTCACTAATGTTTTGCTTGTTGACAAGAAATGAAGTGACATTTGACGTAGCTTGGAGGACCAAATTCCAGCCTAGAGAGGGGATTCAGCACAGTTCCACCCCTCACAGAGAGCCTGTTGGTGAGTGTTAGCTGCTGAGAAATGAAGGGTCAGTTTTCTCTAAGAATTTAGTCCTTGATAAGCTGACCGTGTTCTGAAGGAAGGCAAGATATTTGGGCAGCACAAATTGGCCTATCTAGAAAGAAAAAAAAGACACAAAGTTGGGTGGGAAGGTAAGGGGGAGATGAATTTGGCAAGAAGGGGAGGAAGAGTGAACATGATCATTGGACGAAATTATTAAAGAACTAAAAATAAACCAACAGTCAAGGTCAAACAGGATGGGAAGGAAAAGCATTGTCTGAGTTACTGAAGATCATTGCTGCTGTGATTTAAGCCTTTCCTACTGCCCTTGCAAAGAATGAATGGGAAGACCCTCTGTAAGGAACAATTATGGGTTGTGTAAAGGTTTCACTCTCAAATTGTTCCCTGGAGGTCGAGTGACAAAAGATGACTCTAAGTTTCAGAGTGGCCTGTGAGGGGCTTGTACTCAGTCACCCTGTTGTCCACCACTGTCACCCAGGGAAACACTGGATACTGTTTACTTTCCCACGTGGAAAGCTGTCCAGTAAGAAAGACCCTTACAGAACAGTTCTACTGTACCATCCTGGGTAAACTCTTTTGTTACATAAGAACATAGTGTATGTTCGGATTGCCTAGAAAAAAACTTTGAAAGGATGAACAGCAAACTGTTTTCAGTGATGTCTAAGATTTACAACTCTCTCTTTTAGCACGTATGAATGTTTCCAACTGAACACAATTTACTTTTGAAAGAAAAAAATGTTTTAAAATGACTGAAAAAAAGAAGACTCAAAGATCTAAATGAGGCTCTTTGGTCTTGTCTCTGGCTTTCCTTCTCTGTATATATTCCCCAGGAATACCATGTCATTGTCTGTTCAGGTACTGTTATGAAAGTGTCATAGCCTGGGTGGCTTATAAACACAAGACGTTCATTTCATACAGTTCTGACATCTGGGATGCTGTGGAATAATCCTTTTATACACTGTAAGGATTTGTCACTCAAATTGGTTTAATAAAAAGCTGATTGGCCGATAGCTAGGATTTTCAGGGCAGGGAGAATGCTGGGAGGAAAACGGGCAGAGTCAGAGGATACCAACAGATGCAGGGGAAGCAGGACATATAGAAAATGAGGTAATAAGTCATGAGCCATGTGGCAGAGGGTAGATCAGAAATATGGATTAATTTAAAATATAAGAATTAGCTTGGGGGCTAGAGAGATGGCTCAGAGGTTAAGAGCACTGCCTGCTCTTCCAGAGGTCCCAAGTTCAATTCCCAGCAACCATATGGTGGCTAACAACCACATATAATGAGGTCTGGTGACCTCTTCTGGCATGCAGACAGAACACTGTATACATAATAAATAAATAAAATATATTTTTTTAAAAAGAGCTAGTAACTAGCCTGAGCTATTGGCTGAGCATTTATAGATAATATTAAGCCTCTGTGTAGTTACTTAGGACTGGCTTGAAGGACAGAAATTTCTGCCTACACCAGGGCATCTCAGATCAAGATGCCAACAGACTGGAGTCTGGTGAGAGTCCACTTACTACTTCACAGACATCTTTAATGTGTTCAGGGTGTGAGTGAAGGTGCTCCCCCAGGTCTAGGTCATAGGGCATTAATTCTGTTCATGAGGCTCTGCCCTCACCACCTTATCAACTTACCACACATCAACTTCATGGGCCCCATCTCTAGAGTCCCTCATACTAAAGATAAATTTCAATGCAAGGATCCAGAATGACACAGACACCCATGGCATTGCAGACAAAAAACTAACTGAAAAGAGCCTTGCTTTGTGCTCAGTCTCCAAGATCCACTGAGAATCAGAGCCCCATTTCAATTCCAGAGCTTCTCTGTGGCTTTTCTAGGCTAGGCCACATTTCCCTCTCTGTTGAGCAGAGAGCAGAGAAACAGTATCTCTTCCCTCCAGGACAGAAATATTTCATGAGCGCCTTGTTTGCGTGTGAGCACAGCTGGGATGCTCTTAAATAATTGACCCTGCCACATTGAAACACAGCAGTGACTGAGCACCTGGGATAAGCAAGGCCTGTGCTCCCTGACGTTTCTTCAGTTTTCCAAACAGCATTTGCTCCCCGCTCCCCACCACCTACACTTTACCGGGAGGGAAATAAAGCCTAGGGATTTGCATTCAGAGGTGCCAGGCTTGGCCCCAAACTCTGGGCTCTCTTGATGCAAGTTCACATCCTCTCCCTCCACCATTTGGAAATTTTAGATGGTGAAACTAACAACAAAAAAAAAAAGTCTGCATCTAAGGTCAGTAGATGGACTACATTTTTTAAAAATGTTTTAAATTATTCGAGAAGTTCATACAATGTATTTTGATGATCACTCAACAAATCTACCTAACTCCTCTCATATCCACGCACCTTCCTTAACACCACAGTGTGTGCGTGTTTGTGTGTGTGTGTGTGTGTGTGTGTGTGTGTGTGTGTGTGTGTATTTAGTGTGGCAACCTAGCAGGAGCCATAACCCTTACACTGAAGTCTGATGGATTCACAACACGCCCCCACGGTTGGGCATGTTTGCGCATGCCCGGCAGACCTAGACACTTCTGCCTAGCCAGTTCCAGGTCAAAATAGCCATTTCCGGATCAAGGCGACTCGAATGACCAAGACCCCGTGGCTTTGTATGGTTGTGTAAGAGCGTGCAAGGCAACCATGTGATCTGCGCATGCATGGAGTAGCCACATCGACCTGTGTACGTGTGTGCCACCCAGTCTTTATAAGCAGCACCATATTCCCGGCTTCCTCTTTCTTTCTTCTTCTCCACACATGTGTCTCTTCCACAGACCTGAGCACTTGTCTGTCCTTTTCTCTCATCTTAATAAAACTCTTGTTAGTGGATTTTGTCTTGTTTCGTGACATTTCCTCGCAGAGTAAGAGCGCCGCTGAGTAACTAACACAGTCATTACTGTGACTTCAGAGCGGTGTCCTCACCCTGAAACAACACATACCGTGTTCAAAACTTCACACGCCAGGCTGACTGGATTGGTGGGGGCCACAGGCTGAGAAACTCTAGTGTTGCTTTTCTTTTTCTCAGAGTTCATATATGTATGGGTATTTGTTATTTTCCCACAAATAAAACCTTCCTATAGGCTGTTACCCTTCCCTTGGCAAGATGTTAGCTTGTTCCCTTGTGGTTGCAAAAGAAAGTCATGCTTTTCCCCTTCTGTTCTTACTGTCTTCTCTCCCATACATTGTATTTCCATCTTCAGCAAATCTTAATTGTGTACCTATTACATCCCCAGCATGTCCGAGATGAGGAAGAGGAAGAAGCAAACAGCTGGAGAGGGGGAGGGCCCTCCTACATACAGTGTCAATCTCAAGCCAAATCCATGATCAGATTCAATCCCCGTGTGATGTGATGAACTAACATCAGGCTAAGCACAGGGCTTCTGCCAGGTCAAAGCGTCAATGAGGGGCAGGGGGAGGGTCCTACTTGGGGAAACAGGGATGGTTTTTCAGAGACCTGACAGCTTAAAATGAGATGTTAAAAAGATACTGGAGTCACCCAAGTGACCAGGAGAAAGAAAAGCCAGAGACAGAAAAGCTATTCGTGGTGACAGTGGAGTTCCCATCGGCTGGAACATAGACTTCAGAGGAGACAGGAGCCGGACTGGGAAGGGCTTTGTGAATGAGCTTGGCCTTTATCCCGGGCAATGGGAAGGAAGTGCATGCATGCAAGGCAGAGGCAAGATGGGGATTGGTCAGTGAAATGATCAATGGTTGGGAATGGAACAGTAGGTGCCATGGAAGACAATAATGCCTGCAGAGAGAGCACCAAGGCCACTCTACCCTCCTGGCAAAGATGTTGGTGGCTTGGACCACAGTGGCCACAGAGAAGATGGAAA